CCCCCCCCCCCACCCTGGGGCACACTTGGGCTCTGCTGCCTGCTCCCCCCCAACCTGGGGCACACTCGGGCTCTACTGCCCCCCATGTGCTGCTGCTCTCTTTCCCATGCGCCCCTCCCCCGCTTGCTGGGGAAGTGGCAGAGTTTGATCTGGCAGAGAAGGTCAGGTTTCTACACCCTCCCCCTCCTGCCATCGGGAAGCCTGACCGGGTGCTGTAGCTGCGCTGGGCTCCCTCCCTCCTCCCCCAGGAACAAGAGCATGCTGCTTGGAGGCTTTCCTTGCTGCAGCAGGGTGCCAAGCCAGATAAGCCTCCCCGCTCATGCCCAGTACCTGCACGCATATCCCCTTCATTCCCCTCCTCCTGCCAAGAGCCCACATTCCCAGCTTGCTCTGACACCATGCCCCAAATCCTCTCTTGTACCCTCCTTCCTGGTCAAACACCCTGCCTCGAGACCCCTCTTGTACCCTCCCTCCTGGCCAGACACCCTGCCCCAAGATCCCTCTTGTAACCTCTCTTCTGGCCAGGCACCCTGCCCCCAAGACACCTCTTCTACCCTCCCTCCTGACCCGCCATCCTGCCCCAAGATCCCATCCTGTATCCTTCCTCCTGGCCAGACAACTCTGCCCCAAGCTTTCTCCTGTGCTCTTCTTCCTGGCCAGGATATTGAAGATCATCTTTGTGATTTATAAACAGATATCATGAGGTATTTTCCAACCATAAATTATAATAACTGAATCTGAGATCCATTAAGTATAACAGGAAAGCCAGTCTATGCAAGATTATGAAAACCTAATCAAAATCACTACAGATGGCCAATTAATACAAAAAATTAAAAGAAGTTTCTCTGATTACATTTTGGGGCGGGTTATGTCAAGAATATTCAGCTTTATCGAGACTTGTAATTCATCAGTAGTTAACTTTCAGCAGCACATACTTGTGTGAAACTGGGTTCTCGAATTATGCAGCAACAAAAACAAAATACAGAAATCGACAATGCAGCGCCAGATATGCAAATCCAACTTTTTAGTATTAAAAAAAATAAAAAGAATTTGCCAAGAAAAGAAGAAAACCCACTCTTCACATTTAAAACTGCCAATACAATTCATATTAGTTTTTGAGCTATATTTTTTTGTACACATTAAATGTGATTTTTGTTTTTAAATATGTGCTATTAAACTAAATGTTGACCGTATTTAGCATTTGCTCATTATTATTATCCTTACTTATTTGTGGTCTACTTTTTCAGCTCCATATCCCAGACTGTCCTCCTGGGGGAGGGAGGGAGTGCGGTGTGTCATGGTGCTCAGGTCCGGCAGCTCTTTTTTTTTTCTTGACAAATTTTCCTTAGGGGTTCTTTGAAATTCTTCCAAGTTTAAAAGGTTTCTGTGGCCAAATAAAATTGGGAAACTGCTCTAAGGAAGTTTAATGCTCTAGGGCCCTGGTGGGGAAAGTAAGGCGCCCAGGGGCCAGAAGCGGCCTCCAGTTTGCCTGAAACCAGCCCTCAAAGCTCAGGGCTCTCCACTCCCAGCACTAGGGAGCCTGTACAGGTGCTCCAGCCCCCTGCCGCTCCATCCTGGAGCTGGAGCACACAAAATCTATTAGTCTGGGTCCCCCAAGGCTCTGGTGTGGGAAGAAAGTGCAGGCAGTGTCTGTCTTCTCAGTCGGGGACCATGGCAGTGAGGGTTTAAGGTTTTTTTTCCTTCTCACTTGTGTGGCCCCAGACTGCCTTTTCTGTGGTGAGTGGCCCCTGACCCAAAAAAGGTTCCCCACTCCTGGTATAGGGCTATATTTGCATTTCCCCTAAAATTCACCACCATTAACAGAAATGCAGCTCAATCTGTGTGAAAGCCAGTATAGATTCTCCAGCAGGTTTAAAACCACCACGTGATCAGGTCTGAACAAAGGGGGGATTAAATCACATAGAGGTAACACTGGCAATTACCTTAACTGTTACCCCTAATCATTGCTACAGTCAATATCAATAGCAGAAAGTTCTAGGGAAAAGTATTAGTGTACACACACATTTTGCAAGGTCACAATGAACTGAACTAGCACATTTCATTTGGGCAGCTAACTGGAAGCTTCTTTAGTTTACTGGTTTGAAATAGCAGTGACCGAGAGGTCTGTTTCTCTATGGGTACAGCTACACTAATTCGTTAGTTCAAGCTAGGTAGGGTAATGAGGGCAAGCGGAGTTGCAAATGAAGCCCGGGATTTAAATATCCCGGGCTTCATTTGCATATTCCCGAGCATTGCCATTTTTAAATCCCCCTTAGTCCGAACTCCGTGCCTGCGGCTACACGTGGCACGGACTAGGGAGGTCAAATTAAAGATCCTAATTCGAACTACTGTCACTCCTCATTCCACAAGCTAACGAGCTAGTGTAGACATACCCTATGTTTCTCACATTTCCTGAGCATTGTCAGTCTCCTGTTCTACAGCAGTTCACCAATATACATTGTGGAGTCATGTCTTAAAATCCAGTTGTAGTCCCCAAAAATCAAGGATTCCTGGAACTCAGCAGTTTCTACTACAAAACCTTTTCATACAAGTCAGCGTTAAAAAACTTACCCTCCCGTGAGCACAGGAGATACCACTCGTACAAAGGGTGGATCAAAAGGAAAATTATCCTGAAAAGCACAACAAAAAGTGTAGAGTTAAAAGCCATGCTGCAACACGGATTTATAGTAAGAAAGAGATATTTCAATTTACTCTTTGGGAAATGCATAGTATATAGATTTTGAGAACTTAAATGTTCTTTCATTTATGTAGACATTCATATTACTTCTAGCAGGACATCAGTCATGGAATGTGATAGTAATATACTAAAAATCTTATCTGTTTTTGAAAGCTATACCATCATCCTTCAACCAGAGCACCTGGATTATTACCATGTAAAATTATTTCTATATTCAGGCAGTAAAAAATTCCTCTCAAAATTCTACTGCTGCCCATTTACCTTAAATGAGAAGTTGAGCAAAATGTATTCTACACCTTCTTTTTCTTTTAAAACTTGAAGATCACTATGTAATGGGCTGTCAGGATCAACTCTAGGAATCAAACAGGGAAAAAAGCAAACAGAATGAACGGAATCATTCAGCTTTCTGAATAAGAGAAATTACCCTTGAATAATTCCTTTATAGAATCATAGGGCTGGAAGAGACCCCAGGAAGTCATCAAGTTCAGACCTCCAAAGCAGGACCAATCCCAACTAAATCATCCCAGCCAGGATTTTGTCAAGTCAAGACTTAAAAACCTCTAGGGATGGAGATTCTGCCACCTCCTAAGTAACCCATTCCAGTACTTCACCACCCTCCTGGTGAAATAGTTTTTCCTCATATCCAACCTAGATCTTCCCCACTGTAACTTGAGACCATTGCTCCCTGGTTCTGCCATCCATCACTACTGAGAACAGCCTCTCTCAATCCTCTTTGGAACCTCCCTTCAGGAAGTTGAAGGCTGCTATCAAATTTCCCCTCACTCTTCTCTTCTGCAGACTAAATAAGAAGATTTGCTGCAATGTATCATATTCTTAACATACTTATGGTATTCAAGGATTTTGAATCTGGACATTCAAAACAATGTTTTTTTTGAAAATTTCAGCAATTTCAACAACACTGTTTGTAGACAGACACTGGTGGCAGGATTACGAATAGCTAGCAGACTGGTTACCTATTCTTGCAGTGTAAAATTAATCCTATCTCAAGAACTTCACCTCAGTAAACTTTTTAGTAAGAACAGAGACATAATCTGTTGTAAATTCGGTTATGTACGTACTGAATGTGTCATATACCCAGCTGAAGACCATAGATATTCCATTGGAAGTCTGCACAAAATTACTGCTGAAGCCAACAGTACATTTCTCTGAGGCCTAGTCTATATTACGCCCCCTCATCGATTTAAGACATACAACTTCAGCAACACGAAAAGCGTAGTTGAAGTCAACATACTTTGACCTATTTTCCACAGTGTCTTCTATGCAGTAAAGTCAGAGTTGATGCTCTCCCGTCAACTCTGCCTACTCTTCTCGTCCTGATTGAGTATCAGAGTCAATGGGAGAGCACTTGGAGCAGACATGATAAATCAACTGCCAGTGGACTGATCACTGCAGTGTCAATCCACCATTAATGGAGAGAAGCCTTGACTGCCTAAAACACACTCAGAGAGGGAAACAAAGCTGATGCTCATGGCAACTAGGGGTGGGTTAGTGTTCATGCAGTTCTGAGAGAACCTCATAGTGGTCTGTTGGGATCCACTCCAACACTTCTAAGGGACAGCTATAACTAGCTTGGTTTGGGATAAGTTTTCCATTTTAAAGATTATTCTGTAGGTTAGCATGTTGTAGTATGATCAGGGATGATTTCAAGGGAACTGCTCTGGGAGTATTATTTGAAGTAAAAGATACATTAAACTATGGCCATGCCTAAAGTTTTCAATCTTGTGAATATTTCATAGTTCTTTTTCCATTTTAGACATATGTAATTGTTGAGCCATAAAAATAAAAGCTACTAAAGCCAATAAAAGAGTTTGCTTCTTTTGTATAATTTGAATAGCATAAAAACATATTTATTCTTCAAGTTAAAAAATTGTTCAGTATGATTGGATCACCATTTTGTATGGGTTTGGAGAGGGAATTTTGGTAGTTATAAAGGTTATGATAAAAGAGCAGTTGTTTAGCAGTGTAAACTCTGGTGGAGCTGGCACAGAATATACCTATGTAGGACAGATCCAGTCTAGAATTACATATTCTAGCTAGACAGTTTCAATTCCATAGTGTAATCTATGCTTCAGCATTAATATGGGTTCTTTAGAAGAGATTTAAAAAAAATGTAAACTTACTTTAAAAGTTTAACATGCCACTCGTACAGGCTGTCATTTACAAGTTCCACTGAATAAATCCCTGTGGAAGTATTAGACAAGTTATTTATGAACCAGAATGTACTTTTGTAACACCATCCCATACAGACTATTTCATCATCTTTAACAAGGAAAAGCACATGAAATCTGCTATATTCTTTTACGTGCCTGAGCAAGCCAGACTGTGAATATAAGCAAAGATTCATCTATCAGATATAACAAGGGATAAGAAATTCAATTCAGGATATGCTTTCCCTCAGAAATACTTTCAGAATAAGGTTACAAAAAAGTCAGTAACTATCTCCTAATAGCTTCAAATAGGAATACCACACAAATTAAAGTTGTGATATAGATATTGGTCATTCTAGAATTTCTTCACTTCTGTTCTCTTCACATTTCCTACTATACCTATATCTCATTCAAAGCTTAATCTCCTGTACATATGCACAAAGATTAGTATTATGCATACTAGTCCAGACAAACAACTTCCTAATTTGCACATGGGGACTGATCCAGTAGATGCAGCCAGCAAGGTAGCAATAGCAGACCAAAGGATGTCAGTCTCTGGCAACCTGTAAACAGCAATGATTTGAGACTACGATCTGTGCATGTTTAGATAGTTTATTGTATAAATTAGATTTACAAATTATACTGTAAATTTGCCTGTTGCTTTATATAACTAAACTTCACCACAGCATTTTAAGTAGTCAATATATTAAGAACATAAGAACGGCCATACTGGGTCAGACCAAAGTTCCATCCAACCCAGTACCCTGTCTGCCGACAGTGGCCAATGCCAGGTGCCCCAGAGGGAGTGAATCAAACAGGTAATGATCAAGCGATCTCTCTCCTGCATCCATCTCCACCCTCTGACAAACAGAGGCTAGGGACACCATTCCTTACCCACACTGGCTAATAGCCATTTATGGACCTAACCTCCATGAATGTATCTAGTTCTCTTTTAAACCGTTATAGTCCTAGCCTTCACAACGTCCTCAAGCAAGGAGTTCCTCAGATTGACTATGCGCTGTGTGAAAAAGAACTTCCTTTTATTTGTTTTAAACCTGCTGCCCATTAGTTTCATTTGGTGACCCCTAGTTCTTATATTATGGGAACAAATAAATAACTTTTTCTTATTCACTTTCTCCACACCACTCATGATTTTATACACATTTTATATATTAAGTACAGGGAATATATATATAAGTAGGAAAGTTAACTTTTTATCATATAAAAGTCAAGACTGGCAAGTTTTTAAATATGTATTTTATATGTAATATTTTGAAAATAGTAATTCCAATAGGAGTGCCTGGTAATTATAGAATATATAGAAATCTCTCTCCTTTCTGAAGAAAAAACAGTTACAGTACTCGTCTTTTATAACTGTTAAAACTTAAAAAAATAATGAATAGTCTTGTAGCACCTTAGAGACTAACAAACATGAAGATGGTATCATGAGCTTTCATGGGCACAACCCACTTCTTCAGAGGACTGGAGTTTAGGGGTCCAGTTTCCAAATAAATAGCAGAGAAAGAGAGGGATGGGGAGGGGAAGAGAGAAGAAAAAAGAAGGGAAAAAAGGAGAAAAATATTGTCAATTAGAGTGTCCATGTTAACTGAAGCTGATGAGAGTGGATACAAAGTGCTCTTAATTACCCAGTGTTTGGTTTTTTTATGTCGTTAGGATGTGGAATGTAGCAGGTACTCCAGTTAAGGTCTTTGTTTAAACCTTTATTGTAGGTATTAACCTTACAAATGAAATGAATCTCTGCTTCCTGTTCAAGTTGGTTTTTGAAACTGGTTTGAAATAATATCGAAACTTTGAGATCCATTAATGAGTGCCCGGGCAAATTAAAATGTTCCCCAACAGGTTTCTGTGTGTTACCTTTTCAAATATCTTATTTGTGTCCTTTAATCCTCACTTGTAGAGACCATCCAGTTTGGCCAATATACATGGCAGAGGGGCATTGCAAGCACTTGATGTCATAGATCACATTGGTGGATGTGCAGTTGAATGAGCCTCTGATGTGGTGGTTTATGTGGTTAGGTCATGTGATGATGTCACTTGTATAGATATGTGGACAGAGTTGGCACTGGATTTGATTGCAGGGGTGGGTTCCTGGAAGAGTATGATGGAGATGTGCTGCATGGTTATTGGAAAGAATTTGTTTGAGGTCTGTAGGCGAGGATTGGCCTCCCTGCAAGGCCTGTGAGAGTGAGGAGTCATTTTCCAGGATAGGTTGTATATTGTCGATAATGCTGTGGAGGGGTTTAAGTAGCAGGCTGTAGGTGATGACAAGTGGTATCCTGTTTTCTTTGTTAGGCCTATCTTTGAAGAAGCTGATGTCTGGGTACTCGTCAGGCTCTGTCAATCTGTTTTTTCACTTCCTTGGGTGGGGAATTTTAGTTTTAAGAGTGCTTGATATAGATCCTGTAGATGTTTGTCTCTGTCTGTGGGATTGGAGCAAAGCCGGTTGTATCTGAGGGCCTGGCTGTAAACAAGTGATTGGGAAATGTGTCTAGGATGGAAGCTAGAGGCATGTGTAACGGTCAGTAAGTTTCTGACATAAGATGGTGGAAATGTGTCCGTCACGTAATTGTACTGTTGTGTCAATGAAGTAGATCTCGTGTGGACTGATCCAGGCTGAGGTTGGTGGTGGGATGGAAGTTGTTGAAATCCCTGTGGAATTCTTCAAAGGTCTCCTTCTCATGGGTCCATATGATGAAAATGTCATCAATGTAGCATAAGTAGAGTAAGGATGCTAGGAGGCAAGAGCTGATGACATGTTGTTCAAAGTCAGCCATAAAGATGTTGGCATATTGTAGGTCCATGCAGCTGTGACACTGACTTGAAGATATAAATTGACTCCAAATTGGAAATAGTTGCGAGTGAGGACAAAGTTGCAGAGCCCTGTAACCATGTGTGCAGTGGTGTCATCAGGGATTGTGAAATGTTGGTATAATGAGCTTCTACATCCATAGTGGTCAGGATGGTGTTTCCAGGAAGATTACTGATGTTCTGTAGTCTTCAAAATGTGTTGTTTAATGTCTATCCCAATCAGGTGTGTTGTAGCCAGACAGGAACCCCCCTTGTAACATCCATATTTGCTTGCCTGGAGCATGCAGGGCACACAGAGCAGAAGGCCCAGGCTGTGTGACCATGAATGGCTGTAAACAGAGATACGCCAATTGCTGACCAAGAGGCTGCCAAGGAGCGCCCTTGACTCAAACCCATATTGATACGAACACACATCCGTCCACAGGGGGAGGAATCCCTCACCCAGTAAAAAAATGTCTAGTACTCACAATTTAGTTATCTCTCTTGCAAGTGTAAATTAATTTGAAACTTGCTTGTAAGAACTGGCGCCACAAAACGGACCAGTACAATTCGGCATCTTAGATAAGAAAGAGGATACGGGCCCCCAGGGGTATATAGATGGGTCCAGCAGCACATTTTCTCTGAGTGTCAATCTACTATCTATCTGCTGGTCGGGTTAGGTGTTTGATCTCCCGAGGTTCCAGAGGGGACGCCCACCTCATATTCGTCTTTCCTAGGAATTGAGAGACCGGCCCTGGCCTGACACGCTGGAGTCGAGAGTCACAGAAAGGGGTAAAAATTGTACCTGGATGTGGTCCTTTGTCTTAAGTGTACACATAGACTTAGAGCTCTTTAAAGATTAAGCTGTCACTTGGTACCATTATTTCTATTTTCTATCTTTACCTTTTTCCTGTGATCATTTTTAAGACCTATATATATATATTTGCTAGCATTTAAGAAAGAGAGCAATAGCCATTGTAACCATATGCTTTTATAAGTCTTTTAATAAACCTGTAACTGTTTAAGCTTTAACCTGACTCCTTCAGTTGCTGTAATAGAACCAAGCACAATTTAAAAGAACTTCAGCCGGTCATAAAGGGACAGACATAGGGAGAGCTCGGGCGTTTGGATCTGTGTCACTCCCAGGTGACAAGATCTGTTGGGGCACCTTTCCAGCCTTTCCCAGGCTGCCCGCTGCGAAGGAACTTTGTGTTCTAGCAGTTTAAATCTAAGGTGTAATAAGCTCTTCCTACACACTGGGGCGTCTGTTAGCCTGTTTGGCTACCCTCTGCGAAGGGACTGTGGTCCTAGCAGTAAAGTCACGGACGTTAAAAACTTTCGGGGCTCCTTTCAGCCTTCTGGGCTGCCCGCTGCGACGAGACTTCGTGTCTTAGCAGTCAAAGACTTAGGAGACATACCCACACGCACTGCCCTGACCGTCGGCTGACATGTGTGCACACACGCACATGCATAGTAACAGGAAGATTTTCCCGAACAGCTAACTGTAGGGTCAGCCTGAATGCCCCCTCACGTGGTACCATTATGGCACCCAATGTAGAGCTCTGTCAATCCACCCCCTCTTCAGTTCCTTCTTGCTGACTACTCCAACAAAGGGGAAGGAGGTGTCAGCTGCTGATACAAATAGTTGAGGCAACTTCCTGAATGGTCTTGTTCTGTCAGTGTAAAAGGCCAGTGCTGTATGTCAAGAGAATGGAGACAATGTTCTCTAGCACTGGAGTGCAGTTTGGGATAAAATACTGAAAGAAAGATGTCTCAGCTCATATGAAAATTTGAGACCACCTTTGGAAGGAAAGCTGGATGTGGTCAGTGTTGCTCTTTGTCCTTATAGAAAATTATATAACGAGGCTCCTATATGAAGGCCCTAAGCTTAGCTACCTTCCTAGCAGAGGTTACTGCAACCAGGAAAACCACCTTGTAAGAGAGGTAGATCGGGGGAAAATGGCCAATGGTTCTAATGGTGGACCATGAGTTTGGAAGGATCCGTTGGCGGACCTTAGGGTAGACTCTGTCCATGACCTTTAGAAATCAGCTAACTAGGGATTTGGTAAATATCAAGCAACTGTGTCCCCCCAGGTGGAAAGCAGAGATGGCAGCTGGATGGACCCTTATAGAGGACACCAACAGAACCTTCTGCTTAAGGTTGAGAAGATAGTCTATGATTAAAGGTGTAGAAGCCAGAATTGGAGACAAACGATACTGTGCTAA